ATGGGCCTAGCCCAGGCAGGTAGAACTAGTTTAGTTTGGGATTATAGTTGGCATGGACTGGTTGGACCGAAGGGTGTGTTTCTGTGCTGTATGACTCTGACTTCTGCAGGTCCCAGCTAACCAGCCTGGGAATGACCACAGGGACCTGTCTTCTCATGGACGCAGGTAATCAGAGAGACACTATCTAGTAGTACCATTTACTACAAGGAAACATGAAGCCATTTTCCAGCCGAGGGCCATCTGCTATCTTTACACATTCTGTCACTGGAAATGTTTTGAATTTTATTTTTCTCCTTCCTCCATTGTGACATTTCCTTTAATTGACCTGTCACTTTAAATTAGACTACTATGCAGCGCATCACTCCTGCCAGTGGTGCCTTTCCTTTGAGTTTGATATCGGGTTTTGTGAACAATACTGCAAATGATTGCATGCCAGACAATTGAATGTACTTGTGTTTCAGACCTGTCTTAACCAAATTGGACATGATCAATAAATGTAGCCAATATATTAGCCCCACGGCATTCCTTTAATTGATTCAAAAATCGATTTCCTCAAAAGATTCAATAAATCAAACAAACCCTGCCATTTACAAATCCATACTGGTCTTCAATCAATCTAAACCTTTCTAAAGGTCCCTTTCCATATTATGGATCGAGAATTTTGCTTAGAACTAGATATCGCTAAGGTGATCTTTCACTTCCTAGCTTGACCATTTTCCTGTTACTTGCACAAAAATGAAATTCTCGCACTTTCTAATTATTTCTTCAAATGATTTTTGGAAAATTGTTATCTATAATGCCTCTGCTGTCTCTTCTCACGACTCGTTCAGGGTCTGGCAAGAGGACAAGTACAGACTATGCGGGAGGGTGTTTGGAATCAGAGATTGCAGAGCAAGCTGTGAGCACAAGTTCATGGTCAACAGTGGCCTCAATTGAGGGGCACACTGGGAGAGCATGCTGCTTTTGATACTCATTTAAGTTTAGACAGTGTTTTTCCCAGCATTTTAGCCACCTTGCGCTGCACTAATGTCATGCCATGGTAAATCAGAGAATCCCTGTAAGAGATGCAGATGCTGTTTGAACAAAATATCCTCAAACTGCTGTGGAGATTTGTCAGTCGTTGGTTATTTACCCATGAACACAGCCTGCTCTGCTACAGGGCTCTGAGTAAATATTTGAAGTTAGTCATTAACTGAGTATTTTCAGGCGTTTAGTTGGATTCACCAAGACAAAAAGCCTTCCAATGTAAAGTGTTACAACTGGATTTTTGTGGACAAATTATTTTTGAAGGTACAACAAAATGGAGTGTTCTAGCCTTCAATTCAGCTTTGATTGCAAAAGCAGAGATCTGGACGGCGACAGTGACGTACATTAGCCTGTGCGGTGGGTCAGTGTATTCCTCGGGCCAGTGTGGAGGGTCAATGATATCCTCGGGCCAGTGCAGAGGGTCAGTGATATCCTCGGGCCTGTGCAGAGGGTCAGTGATATCCTCGGGCCTGTGCGGTGGGTCAGTGATATCCTCGGGCCTGTGCAGAGGGTCAGTGATATCCTCGGGCCTGTGCGGTTGGTCAGTGATATCCTCGGGCCTGTGCGGAGGGCCAGTGACACCCTCGGGCCTGTGCGGAGGGCCAGTGACACTCTCGGGCCTATGCGGAGGGTCAGTGATATCCTCGGGCCTGTGCAATGGGTCAGTGACATCCTCGGGCCTGTGCAATGGGTCAGTGACATCCTCGGGCCCGTGCAGAGGGTCAGTGATATCCTCGGGCCCGTGCAGAGGGTCAGTGATATCCTCGGGCCCGTGCAATGGGTCAGTGATACCCTCGGGCCCGTGCGGTGGGTCAGTGATACCCTCGGGCCCGTGCGCTGGGTCAGTGATACCCT